ACTCACCCAGTGGGAATTCACAACAGAATAGGCACCCAATAGTTCACCCTGTGGGGATTCACAACAGAATAGATACCCAATAACTCACCCAGTGGGGATTCACAACAGAAAAGGTACCCAATAGCTCACTCAGTGGGGATTCACAACAGAATAGATACCCAATAACTCACCCAGTGGGAATTCACAACAGAATAGGTACCCAATAGTTCACCCTGTGGGGATTCACAACAGAATTGATACCCAATAACTCACCCAGTGGGGATTCACAACAGAATAGGTCCCCGGAGGTTCACACAGTGGGAATTCACAACAGAATAGATACCCAATAACTCACCCAGTGGGAATTCACAACAGAAAAGGCACCCAATAGTTCACCCTGTGGGGATTCACAACAGAATAGATACCCAATAACTCACCCAGTGGGGATTCACAACAGAAAAGGTACCCAATAGTTCACTCAGTGGGGATTCACAACAGAATAGATACCCAATAACTCACCCAGTGGGAATTCACAACAGAATAGGCACCCAATAGTTCACCCTGTGGGGATTCACAACAGAATTGATACCCAATAACTCACCCAGTGGGGATTCACAACAGAATAGGTACCCAATAGTTCACCCTGTGGGGATTCACAACAGAATAGGTACCCAATAGTTCACCCTGTGGGGATTCACAACAGAATAGGTCCCTGGAGGTTCACACAGTGGGGATTCACAACAGAATAGATACCCAATAACTCACCCAGTGGGGATTCACAACAGAATAGGCACTCAATAGCTCACCCAGTGGGGATTCACAACAGAATAGGCACCCAATAGCTCAACCAGTGGGGATTCACAACAGAATAGGTCCCCGGAGGTTCACACAGTGGGGATTCACAACAGAACAGGTACCCAATAGCTCACCCAGTGGGGATTCACAACAGAATTGGTCCCCAGAGGTTCACACAGTGGGGATTCACAACAGAACAGGTACCCAATAACTCACCCACTGGGGATTCACAACAGAAAAGGCACCCAATAGTTCACCCAGTGGGGATTCACAACAGAATAGATACCCAATAACTCACCCAGTGGGGATTCACAACAGAAAAAGTACCCAATAGCTCACCCAGTGGGGATTCACAACAGAATAGGCACCCAATAGTTCACCCTGTGGGGATTCACAACAGAACAGGCACCCAATAGTTCACCCTTTGGGGATTCACATAAGAATAGATACCCAATAACTCACCCAGTGGGGACACAACAGAATAGGTACCCAATAGTTCACCCTGTGGGGATTCACAACAGAATAGATACCCAATAGTTCACCCAGTGGGGATTCACAACAGAATAGGCACCCAATAGCTCAACCAGTAGGGATTCACAACAGAATAGGCACCCAATAGCTCAACCAGTGGGGATTCACAACAGAATAGGTACCCAATAACTCACCCTGTGGGAATTCACAACAGAATAGGCACCCTATAGTTCACCCTGTGGGGATTCACAACAGAATTGATACCCAATAGCTCACCCAGTGGGCATTCACAACAGAATAGGTACCCAATAGTTCACCCTGTGGGGATTCACAACAGAATAGATACCCAATAACTCACCCTGTGGGGATTCACAACAGAATAGATACCCAATAGTTCACCCTGTGGGGATTCACAACCAGAATATGTATCTGATAGTTCACCCAGTGGGAATTCACAACCAGAATAGGTATCCAATAGTTCACCCTGTGGGAATTCACAACCAGAATAGGTACCCAAAAGTTCACCCAGTGGGAATTAACAACCAGAATAGATACCCAATAGTTCACCCTGTGGGAATTCACAACCAGAATAGGTATCCAATAGTTCACCCTGTGGGGATTCACAACAGAATAGGCACCCAATAGTTCACCCTGTGGGGATTCACAACAGAATAGATACCCAATAACTCACCCAGTGGGGATTCACAACAGAAAAGGTACCCAATAGCTCACTCAGTGGGGATTCACAACAGAATAGATACCCAATAACTCACCCAGTGGGAATTCACAACAGAATAGGTACCCAATAGTTCACCCTGTGGGGATTCACAACAGAATTGATACCCAATAACTCACCCAGTGGGGATTCACAACAGAATAGGTCCCCGGAGGTTCACACAGTGGGAATTCACAACAGAATAGATACCCAATAACTCACCCAGTGGGAATTCACAACAGAATAGGCACCCAATAGTTCACCCTGTGGGGATTCACAACAGAATAGATACCCAATAACTCACCCAGTGGGGATTCACAACAGAAAAGGTACCCAATAGCTCACTCAGTGGGGATTCACAACAGAATAGATACCCAATAACTCACCCAGTGGGAATTCACAACAGAATAGGCACCCAATAGTTCACCCTGTGGGGATTCACAACAGAATTGATACCCAATAACTCACCCAGTGGGGATTCACAACAGAATAGGTACCCAATAGTTCACCCTGTGGGGATTCACAACAGAATAGGTACCCAATAGTTCACCCTGTGGGGATTCACAACAGAATAGGTCCCTGGAGGTTCACACAGTGGGGATTCACAACAGAATAGATACCCAATAACTCACCCAGTGGGGATTCACAACAGAATAGGCACTCAATAGCTCACCCAGTGGGGATTCACAACAGAATAGGCACCCAATAGCTCAACCAGTGGGGATTCACAACAGAATAGGTCCCCGGAGGTTCACACAGTGGGGATTCACAACAGAACAGGTACCCAATAGCTCACCCAGTGGGGATTCACAACAGAATTGGTCCCCAGAGGTTCACACAGTGGGGATTCACAACAGAACAGGTACCCAATAACTCACCCACTGGGGATTCACAACAGAAAAGGCACCCAATAGTTCACCCAGTGGGGATTCACAACAGAATAGATACCCAATAACTCACCCAGTGGGGATTCACAACAGAAAAAGTACCCAATAGCTCACCCAGTGGGGATTCACAACAGAATAGGCACCCAATAGTTCACCCTGTGGGGATTCACAACAGAACAGGCACCCAATAGTTCACCCTTTGGGGATTCACATAAGAATAGATACCCAATAACTCACCCAGTGGGGACACAACAGAATAGGTACCCAATAGTTCACCCTGTGGGGATTCACAACAGAATAGATACCCAATAGTTCACCCAGTGGGGATTCACAACAGAATAGGCACCCAATAGCTCAACCAGTAGGGATTCACAACAGAATAGGCACCCAATAGCTCAACCAGTGGGGATTCACAACAGAATAGGTACCCAATAACTCACCCTGTGGGAATTCACAACAGAATAGGCACCCTATAGTTCACCCTGTGGGGATTCACAACAGAATTGATACCCAATAGCTCACCCAGTGGGCATTCACAACAGAATAGGTACCCAATAGTTCACCCTGTGGGGATTCACAACAGAATAGATACCCAATAACTCACCCTGTGGGGATTCACAACAGAATAGATACCCAATAGTTCACCCTGTGGGGATTCACAACCAGAATATGTATCTGATAGTTCACCCAGTGGGAATTCACAACCAGAATAGGTATCCAATAGTTCACCCTGTGGGAATTCACAACCAGAATAGGTACCCAAAAGTTCACCCAGTGGGAATTAACAACCAGAATAGATACCCAATAGTTCACCCTGTGGGAATTCACAACCAGAATAGGTATCCAATAGTTCACCCAGTGGGGTTTAGCATGCAGAATATGAACCCTGAAGCTTGTACGATAAGATGAAAATGGGAATCCTTTTCTGCACTAACTGCTTTTATGGTCCAGGTTTTGATAGTTTACAAGGCCGAATGGTTTTCAATATTTCTCTTTGGTGATTTCAGGTCATAATAGGTCCCCAGTAGGTCAGTCCTCCTGCAGGACCAAGAACTGAAATGTTTTATTTTTTACAGGCCACATTGAAAGGGCTGTAAAAGTAGTCACTGTAATGTTGCATAAAACAACTCACTCACTCTCCCACTGTGTTTACAGACACTATCAGACATTGGTTAATTCAAATTATGCTACTCAACTTTTGAGAGGGATTGAGAGTATCCAGCATGTCCAAGTTGGGTCTGAATGTGGGGCGGTCATTAGTCCAGTGGTTAAAGCGTTTGCTCGTCACGCAGAGACCCAGTTTTGATTCCCGACATGGGTCCAATGTGTGAAGCCCATTTCTGGTGTCTCCCACCCTGATATTGCTAGAATATTGCTAAAAGCTCACTCACTCACTCACTCACTGGGTCTGAATGTGACTGATTGCTTGGATATGTTGTCATGTGAATAGTATCTCAATATTGCCATGGAACTGAAGCATGTGCAGCTTCATGTCCAGGTGATTAAACGTAACTATGCGTGTACACACTTCAATAAGTTGTCGTGATGCATGAAATATGATATCTCAATATCCCTATCGAATGTTGAGTGGTATGTTTTGGTCTGTATCTGGCATGGTCGCACAGTTACAGACCACTAATGGTGAGGTAGGTTACTGACTGGAACGTTAGGAAGACAAGGACGTTTAAACATTGTTCTGCCAGAAATAGTGCAAATGTTGTCTCAGGACGATTTCGAAATCGAATGGATGTGATACTCTCAGATGATGGCTGCAGGCTGCAGTTGAAGGATTGCTTCATGTAGAAACCACAACAGTAAAAAATTGTCAATTTGATATGTATAAGCCTGAAATGTTTTGCAAGAAACATGGTTTGAAGTCTATGGAATTAAATGTCATGATTTTGTTGAATTGTTATGCACATGAGTAATTTTTCATACAGTGTCAAAATTTAATATTGACTGTCAAACTTGAAAACAACAGCTTCTACTTACTTCTAAACTAGAATCTTCTGAAACAAGTGCAAAGAATTTCAGAATGAAGGGAATTTTGTGTGAAATTCCATTAGTCTGTAAATGTTCCTTTTTCTTTTTCATGTGAATTATGCTCTTAACCATTCTCTCTAACCTTAAATATATTTTTCTCTTCTTTCCAGGCTGGTGAAACGCTACGGGCTCAGCTGAACCAACACAATGTCTCTGCACAAGCCTTGCAGGAAGCCAAGGCTGAGATCCTGGCACTGCAGAGCCTACTCCAGGAGAAGGAACAGGTGCTTGCTCAGCTCAGGCAGGCCAAGATGGAAGATCCACAGAGACTTGAGCAGAGGGAGAAGGAACGGGAATCATCTGTCCACGGATTTGAATCAAAGACCAAAGAATTGGAAGCTTCAGTTAGTCAGTATGAAATAAGGACACAGGAGCTTGTTGAAAGGTATGAATTGAGAGAGAAGGAGTTGGTTGTGTGTGTACAACAACATGAGGTCAGGGAGCAGGAGTTGGTTGTGTGTGTTCAACAACATGAGGTCAGGGAGCAGGAGTTGGTTCTGTGTGTTCAACAGCATGAGGTCAGGGAGAAAGAGCTGGAGGTGTTTGTGCAGCAGTACGCAAGCAAAGAAGCAACTCTACAGGAGACCGTCACCATGCTTGAGACACAGCTAGCAACAGCAGTCAGTGAGAGGGAAGCTGTTATGTCCTCCCTAGAATCTGGTGAGCAGCAGAAGATTGCTGAGTTGACGTTACAGGTGCAGAACCTGAACCAAGAAAAGGACAAGATTGTTTCTGAGTTGGATCAAGTGAAAACAAGAAATGTTGAGCTTGAAGAGCTGTGTAAGCAATTGGAGGAGTTGCAGGAGGAATGTTTGTTGAAGCAGTCTGAGAATGATGAACTGAGGAACCGGATTAATGACCAGCAGGGTGAGACTCTGGCTCTCAAGTCCCAGGTGGAGGTCCTGCTACAGGATGGGGACCAAAGCAGCCAGGATCTGGATGTGCTCCGGGATCTCCTGGAGAACAAGGAACAGGATCAGGAGATGGAACTCCAGGAGAAGAATGCATTCATTCTGCAGTTAGAGACAGACATTAAGAAGCTGCAAAATGAAAACAGCTCATATGTGTCCAATATTGAATCTCTGAATTCACAGATATTGCTGTTGCAAGCAGATCTCAATGCATCTGTGAGTGAGAGCAAATCGTTTAAGACTTTAGCAGAGAGGTTTAAAACTGAGTTGATGAAAGCTGGGAAGGATCCTGAAAGTGTTTCTGGAGATACTGTGGCTGAAGATGGGGATGATGAATTAGATGGGTCTGATGTGTTTGCTGTGGAGTCTGAACTGGAAGTACGAAGAATCTCTGCAAATGATCAGACAAATGTGGAACTCAAAGGTTTTGTTATGGAGTCGGTGACTCTAAGTGAAAGTGAAGTGAGAAAAGAATTTGAAACTGAAGTTTCCCAAAGGGTTTTAGATGATGGAGTTGTGAGAACTGAAAATATACAGTCTTTGGGTTCAGCCTTCTCTTCCATTGATGGAGGAGGTAGTGTGACAAGACCTCCCAAGACTGATTCACAGATTGTGACTCTGAACAAAGAGATTGCCTTGTTGAAGGAAGTGTGTAAGGGGCATGAGGAAAAAGTAACACATTTGCTGAATGATAATTCAGTATTAAAGACTGAAGTGAACAATTTCAAAACTCAGTCAGCAGCATTAGAGGCTAAGATGGGTGAAGTAGAAAGTCAGAATGGTATCCTTGTGAATCAACAACAAGAATCATATTCAGTGTTACAAAGTCTTTCATCAGAGCTACAAATAACCTGTGATAAACTGAAGGACAGCAAGCACAAGTATGAACATGTATCACAACAGCTATCAGATCATCTCGAGGAAAATGCTGCTCTTGTGGCCAAATTGAGTGAGACTGGAGAAGAAGTGAAGCTAATCCAACACAAACTGGATGAATCTGAAGAGAAGCTTACGGCCCTTGAATTGGAATTGAAACAGATCAAGGCAGAACTTGAAGGCAAATGTTTGGAGTATGAGCACCAGTTAAGTGAAATGCAGCAGACTAAGATTGTGCCTGAGTCTGCAGAGTCAAGGGAGCATGATGCAGAGATCCAGAGACTTCAGAAGGAGCTGGAGGAAGCAAAAGCTGGATTGGAAGAAGTGTGTCTTGGTGCTGAAAGGGGTGCCGAAGCCTTACAGAATCAATGTGATAGATATGCAGCTGAGGCTGCTGCACTGCAGACAGAGTTATCTCAGGCCAATAAAGACCTATCTCAGGCCAGGGAAGACCTATCTCAGGCCAGGGAAGACCTATCTCAGGCCAGGGAAGTCCTATCTCAGGCCAGGGAAGACCTATCTCAGGCCAGGGAAGAACTATCTCAGGCCAAGGAAGAACTATCTCAGGCCAGGGAAGAACTATCTCAGGCCAATGAAGACCTATCTCAGGCCAGGGAAGAACTATCTCAGGCCAATGAAGACCTATCTCAGGCCAATGAAGACCTATCTCAGGCCAATGAAGACCTATCTAAGGTCAGGGAAGAACTATCTCAGGCCAATGAAGAACTATCCCAGAGTCAGGAAAGGATTGTGGCTTTTGAACATGAGCAAAAAGAGTTGTTAGCAAAAACAGAATCATTGCAGCAAGAGCTTACAACAACAAATGTTGAATTTGGTCATATTAGAGACATGTTAGAGAAAGGTCAAGAAGAGTCTAAGAGTTTGGAGTCTGACAAAGATAGATATGACGATGAGGTAAAGTCACTCAAACAAAAACTGGACAAAGCTAGAGCAGAGCTGCAGCAAGAACAGGAAAAATCCATCAGTCTTCAATGTGAAGTTTCCAGCTTGAAAAAGGAAATGGAAAATGTAGATGAAGTTATGGCAAAGAATAAACAAGAAGTGACGTCGTTAAGAGAACAATATGATTCACAGTCAGAAGGGTTTGAGAAAGAAAAGAAGCAAATTATTGAGACACTGGAAATGAATCTAAAAGAATCTGAATCTCAGAGAGATATTCTTTGTGAAGAAGTAGCCTCCACCACACAACGACTCCACAGCACCTTGTCTGAGATTGGGAAAGTGAATCTCAGACTACAACAAACTGAGGAACTGACAGAACAGAGTCTGCAAGAACTTCAGGACAAATGTAAATCATATGAAGAAACGATCAAAACACTCCAGACTGAGACTGAACATTTACACGAGTTAGAGAAGCAGGTTGTTGAACTGAAGAAGGAACAGGAATTAATGAAAACTGACTTGGATAGCAGGGAATTGCAGATATCCAACCTTAGAGGTGAAGTGGAACAAAGGGATGTGGAGTTGTGTTCTGTGAAGGAGATAGCTGAGTCCAAAGTGAGAGAGGATCAACTACAGATAACACAATTACAGGAAGAGCTTCAGAAGCTTCAAATTGAGCTTGAAGAATCAGCTCTGAAGTTTGCAAGTTCCCAAGACATCTCAGAGAAGGTATCCACTGAACTGAATGACACAAAATCTCTACTGTTGACCAGACAGAGTGAACTCGATCAAACTGTTGCTAAGCTGCAGGAGCTGACTTTTGGAGCTGAACAGAGCCAAGTGGAGCTGCAGATGAAGTGTGCAGACCAAGCTGCAGAGATTTCTAAACTTGGATTAGATAAGGAGAGAGTGATGAAGGAACTCGAGAAGGTTGTTGCTGAGGCTGAAACAACAAGAACTGCACTTGTGACGGACATTGAGAAGTTTAGGATGGAAGCAGGAAGTCTTCAAACTGAGCTTCAACAAGTGAAGTTGGAACATGACAATCGTCTCACTGAGGAGCGACATGTCAGATCTGAATTTAAGTCACAACTTGATGTTGCTTCAAGTGAAACTACCCAGTTGCAGACTGCTTTAGACAAGGCAAATAAGGAAGTGGAAGAGACCAAGTGTGAGATGCAGAAGTTGAGGTGTGAGTACGAGGTTCAGTTGGAACAATATGAAAAACATGTGGATGACCTCAAGAATCAAAATAGAGCAAATAAAACAGAGGTCGAGCATTTGCAAAGAAATTCCCAATGCGAAGAGGAAACGAAAATGGAATTGCAAAATCTTATCGAGCATTCTATGGCAGAAATTAAGAGCCTGCAGGATGACAAGAAATTAAGCAAAGAAGAACTGGAGGATGTTCAGACCAAGAATCAATCTTTAGAAGAGGCACTGTACATTGAACAGGCCGCTAGGGTAGAAGTACAGTCTCAGTATGATAGCATATCATCTGAGTTTGACAGAGTAAATGCAAGTGAAAAGAAACTAAAAAAAGACTTTGTTAATTATGTTCAAAGAATTGAGTTTTTGATTACACTGACAAACTTGAACAACGAAAATATTCAACATGTTGATGTGTCAAATATTGGAACTGGTTTGGGTTTATTGGAAGAATATTTGAACAGGATGAAGGTTTATCTTGAAGAACAGACAGCAATCCAGGAAGGCTTGACAGAAAAGGTTACTTGTCTTGAAGCTAGCAACACTGAACTGAACCACCGGATATCATCACTGTCTGGTTCAGAAGAAGCTTTGAAGTCAGCCGTGGAGGACCTGAAGGGACACCTGGAGAAGGCTGAGGTGCAGGGGTCATCGGCACTGGCGGAGATGAAGTCCTGTCAGCAGAGGGTGGAAACTCTGCAGGAAGAGAAAGAAATACTGAAAGCCAACTTTGACTCCTGCATGGTGGACATGCAGCAGAAATTATCTGAGCAGGATACGAGGACAAGAAAACTTCAAGGAGAGATGATGGAGACTGCCAAAGAAAAAGACCGAGATATCAATGAGACGAAAATGATGTATGATGCCCATATATCTCAGCTGGAAGAAAAACAGCTTGTGGTTGAGGCTGAGCTTGCTCGGGCAAAGAAGATAATCTCTGAATCTACAGACACTAAGAGCAGTGACCTGGAAACCTATGAGAACAAAGTTTCTGAGATGGAGGAAAGCATCAGCCGATTGGAGTTTGAGAAAACAAAACTACAGGACCAGCTGGCTAAATGCAGTGAAAACTTCCAACAAGAGAAGGAGGAGATCAAGAGTATTTTTGAGTCTCAGATTACCGAGCTGGAAGAGAACTGCAAAGCACTGGAGTCTACAATGTTCAGACTCAAGGATCAGTTGTCTGATGCAGCTAAGGCTCATGAACAGGAGAAAGAAGACATGGAAAAGAACTTTGACATGCAGCTGTCAGAATGGGAAGACAGATGTAGAATATTCGAAATGGATAATGGAAAGTTAAAGAGACAGATGGATGAAATGGATAAAGATTTCAAATCTGAGAAAGAGGAAATGGAGAAGATGTATGAAAGACAACTTATTGATTTGGAGGACAGATGTAGTCAGAGTGAACTCACAGCCAACAAGTCAAAGCGTAATATGGCAGATATTTCCGTAGACTTTGATGATGCAAAAGTTTCTTATCAGATACAGATTCAAGAACTGGAAGAAAGGTGTGTGGAGCTTGAGAAGAGCAGACTGGAAGTTCAAGAAAGACTTGAATTGGTGAGTGAAAGTGCCCAGCAAGAGAGGAAGAGTCTTCAGGGATCCATGTCTTCTCAAATCAGTGATATTCAGAAGCGTTATACTGTATTAGAAACAGAGTATGCAGCATTGAAAGATGTTTTTGAACAGACTCAGATTAGTCACAAAGATGAAGTAGATCAGCTGAAGCTTGATTATCAGAGGAAGATGGCAGGTTTGGAGGGAAAGTTGGAACAGTCTTCGGTTCAGATAGTGCAAGAGAGTCTGAAAGTAGAAACTGCTTTCTCAGAAAAGGAAGAAATTCAGAGCCAGAGAACAAACACTGAGGCATACAAACTGGAGATTGATAGATTGACAAAGGAAAAGGAGGATATTCAGACAGAGCTTGAAGTTGAGAGAGAGCATGTGAAAGAGGTAATTCAGAAACTTGAGAATTTGAACACCAATCACAAAAGAGAGACTGAAAATTATAGAATGCAGATTGAAAGTATGGCCTCAGGGGAAGGTTCAGAAGCAGTTAAGGAGAATATGGATAGAATGAGAACTGAAATAGACAAACTTACTTTGGAAATTGCTTCTTCAAAACAGGACATGAAAAAAGAAAAGCAAAAATTGAAAGCAGCCAAACTTGCAGCTGAGAAGAGCAAGAAGGAAGCCCAAATGATGAAGGCATCATCTGATCAGGAGGTCCAATCTCTGAAGCTGAGGCTAGAAGCCTGGGAGGTTGAGCTCATCCAGAGGAGGAAGTTTGTGGAACAGGACCAAACTGGGGTGGACAGTGAGGGAGCAGGGTCTGATGCCGGTTCTAAGAGACAAGCAGAGCTTGAGACACTTGTGAAGAATTATGAAAGAAAGGTTGATGATCTCACACGCAAACTGAAGCAGCATGAGACTGACCCAAGGCAGCTGAATGTTGTCCAAGGATCAACTGAACCAAGACAGGAAGGTTTTGAGGCTTTAGAAGAACCACCATTTACAGATGCCTTTGAACCTGAGCCTTTAACTCCAGATATGTTACAAAATCAACCAAGATTTCCTTCCGATGGAGGCTACATTCCTAAGGAAACAGTTGTTCCAATAGTGCAAGGATTCCAGCCTGAACTTGAAGGTCATGGTGAAGGTTTTGTACCTGAGGCTGTTCATCCATTGAGTCACAACTTAACATTAAATATGCCCAAAGAACAGCAAGCCAATGTTCAAACTGAGTCACATTCTGCCCAGCCCAATGATAACCTCACCAGTGGAGATGGCTTCCAGCCAGAGGTGGATGATTCCAAAACTGACACATTCCAACCTGAAGCTGCTGGTGAATTTAAACCAGATCACATACAATCTCAAACCCACCTGACTCTCAGCACCTTTCCTCAATTGTCTACCCTTACAACTGAAGCAAAGTCGTCTGCCAATACAACTGGAACACAAACTGAGGCCTCCGATTTACTGTCGCCCAGTACCATGGAGCTTGACACACAAGGACCAACATTAACATCTCCTGCTAGTGATTCATCAATGTCTGAAGATCTCCATCTGATGAAGAGGCAGCATGACCATGAGAAAGATCTTCTAGAGGAAGAGTATATCAGGAAAATGAAGAGTCTTGAGGTGGAGCTGCAACACAAGCATCAGACTGCCATGGAGGAGTACCAAAAGTCTGTTGATCAGAAGATGCAGCAGGACTTATCAATTAGGACACAGAAGAAACATCAGGAATTCATCATGGAATTGAGGAAAGCGAGGAAGAAACTGGAGGCCAAACACAAGTCTGAAGTGGAGAAGGTGAAACATGAGATGTCCTCCAGACTTGAGGCAGCAGTTGTAGAGCAGTCTGAGTCTGAGCTTCTCAAGCAACTCCACAAGGAGAACCAGGTAATGGCTTGATCTACTGTGTCTTTGCATTTTCCTTTTGAATGTCAGAAAAGAAAGTTCTCTGAAACTTAACTGTAATCAGTATGGACACTTCTGGATGGATGGAGGGCAGTGTGTAATGTGCTGGTCACTCTGATTACCTGGAATTGATTCCCCACATAGTTACAATGTTTGAATCAAATCTTGTCCCCTGCTGTTATGTAGCTTAAATAATGCTGAAAGCAGTATAAAACTCAACTCACTCATTTTGAAGATGAAGCGTCGCAGGCTAAAGTTGTCACTTTAGCAAAGATTTGATCAAGAGCTTGTGTATGCATGAACTAAATTAAAATGATGGTGTTTGTAAGAATCATTACATCATTTTAGCCCTGTAATTTCCTTTGTTTTCCAAACAAGGAATTTTTTTAGAAATATTTCATTGATTGACATGATAACTTTCTCTTAAATGAGCTTAAAGAATGGGAATGGTTCATGTTTAATTCATGGCTATAATGTCGGAAGCCCATATGTTATTGTCCCCTACCGATATGTTATTGGAATATTGCAGAAAGATGCATACAACCCAGCTCACTAACTGTTATGTATAATTTTCTGAGTGTGGTGTATGATGTGTATACACAACTCTTTGACTTTATTGCAGGAACTTGCTGAGGCAAGAGATGCTCTGCTGCAAGAGATCTCACAGAACCAGCAGAGTCGTGAGGAGCAGGAATCGTGGCAGACAAAGCCAGAAATTAAAACTTCCTCACCTAAAGCTGATCAATCGACTGATGAATCCCAGAGAGACGGCTCTGATCGACACCAATCAGACAGATTCCTTGAAGAGCTGGAGAGTTTGTCTCAGAGATCGGGTAGTGAATTGCCCCTTGAGTGGGAAATGGCAATGTCCGTAGAGGATGGAGTGTTTGACAGAGAACTGGATGGAGATGGATACTGTGCCAGGCATGAGTGCCTCGAGATAAAACAAAGGTATCAGAGACTTTTTGAATTGTACCAGCGGGTTCAAGGTGACACTGAGAGTGTTTTCATTGTGGAACATAGTCCAGAGAGGAACCCAAGCTCAAGTCTTGGAAGGAGAAGCCGTATTGATAGTAGTGAGCAAGGAAGTGAGAACACAGGATCTAGCTATCCAAGACATGAAGGTGTGGACACTTCACAAGAAGTCAGTGAGGGTGACTTTGAGGATAGCTTCAAGGATAGGATTCAGAAACTGGAAGCAGAGAATATTGCTTTGGAGAAGAAGCTGTGTGACCAGCTTGAGAAGTTCAGCGTGGAGAAACATCATTTGGAGGAGAGATGCGAACATCTTCAGATAAACTTGAACAACACAGCATTTTCTCGCCAGGAAGTTGAGGACAAGCTAGTGCAACAGAATGAAATACTCCAGAGCTCACTGTCCCAGCTTAGGACCGAGTTCAAGTCGCCTATTGATGAGGAAATATTGGAGGAAGTTGTTGATCAATCTACTTGTGCCTTTGGGATGGCTTCTGTTCAAACACAGACTGAAATAAGTGGGGACATTTTAGTGACAATATTGAACGAACAGATTGAGACCAGTCAGAGATCCTTTGTAGGGGAAAATGACTCAGCTGAAGACATACTGGAAAAGACTTTGTCAGCGAAGAAGGAAGGTGAAAGTTGTAACCCAGATGCAAGAATGAGCACGCCGAAGAGTGAAAAGAAGAATGTACGAACTGAGCTCAGCTTCACTGACAGTGAAGCAGGAACGTCAGGATTTGGACAGTCTGGAATATCTTCTGCATCCTCACCAGGTGACAGTTTCCTTTTGCCAAGTATAGATCACATGGAAAGCATGATCTTCTCAGATTCACGGAGCTCGCTGAGTCCGACCAGCAGGGGGAGGAAGAAGAAGGAGCCCCCGATTGAGATCTCATTCAACACGACCTCGGTTGTCTCGATGAAAAGTACAGAAGGAGGGACGTCTGTAAACCAGGAGCAGATAGAAATTACAGGGACTGTGAAGTCGGCAGGAACTATTGTACCAGAAGATTATGCCAAGGTGGCGCTGGAGATTCATCATACTGAGCTTGTAGAGGAGATCACAAGACTGAAGCGTGATCTTCATGAAACTAAGGCCATGTATGCACGTGAGAATGCCTTGCTGCAAGAACAGGTTGAGAGGGAGAAGATAGCTCGACAGTTGTGGCTGGAAAAGAGGGTTCCCGATGACCAGCTCATCAAGGAGCTGCCTCTACAGACTGATGTGATAGAACTACGCCAAGAAGTGGCTTTGCTGAAGGAGAATAATAAGATGGTTATGAGTGACAACAAACATCTGATGGAGCAGGTAAGGGAGAAGGAGTGTGTCCTATTGCATTTCCGGGATAAGTACGATCTACAGGCTATCGAGCCAGAAGAGTTTTCTCATGGGTCTGACACCCAGCTGCTGATCATACAGAAGCAGAGGGATGAGTTGTTGGAGGAGCTCAAGGACTTTCATTCGGAACATGAAAGACTCTTGTCAGTTCTGGATGCTCGAACAGTCATGGAAGAGACCCTGAGACGAGAGAAAGAGATGCTGCTGGAGAAGTTGGTCCAACATGAAGATGTTCAGAACATCTCCACCCAGAAGCACCTGGAACTAGAGTTCATTCGGGGAGAGCAGAGAAGGCTTGAGCAGCTTTTGCTCCTGAAGGATGAGAATGAGCAGCAGCTGCTGAAGCAGAAGCGAGTCCTGGAAGGGGAGTTTTACGACATCGAAGGTAGATTGAGAGAAAGGGAAGCATTCCTGGAAGAAGAGAAGCACAGATTGTTAAGGGAAGTGAAAGAAAAGAACCTGACCATCATGAAGCTTGAGACAATGACCGGAGGATCCACAGATGGCCACAGTGGACATGGTGCACGACGAGCCTCGACAGGACACGTGCCCAGTGGTACCAAGTCAGGTGTGAGTTCCAGTCCGGTGGCATCGGACACTCCCTACGACGAGGCGATCGAGATTCTGAGAGAGAAGCTAAAGCTGGAGTATGAAGTCAAGGAGGCCGTGATTCAGGAACAACACGCCGGACAGACAGCAGCGTTCTGGCAGCAACAGAACAAGAAGGTGCCTTAGTGTTCTGCTCCTGTTGTGTGGGGAGTGCAGAGTTCATTCAAGCCATGGGTCAGAACAAAAATAATGTCGAGTTCATCCATCCGTGATTCGTTCACCCATCTTGAATTAGTTCTGCAAGGGTAGAGCTGTGGTTAAGGCTTTTTTCTTTACCTCGTCTTTCTATAAAATATGACTGAACCAGGAAAGATAAGGCCTTATTAGTTATGTTCTACTTGACAGCCAACAAATATCTAACAAAGAATGTAAATATTATAAAAACAAGAGTAAAACTATAAAAGGAATGATAATTATTTATATCTGTTGATACATTTCATGTAAGAAAACCACCTTTTTCATTTTGTTTTAAGCCTCATTTCATTGTACTTGATTACTGAAAATGTGATTTTAAACATAGCTGATGCCTCTTACATGAATTAGAGAAACTGGTCACAGTTCTTCCAGCAAGCTTTCCTGGTTCAAGTGGGATTTTTTGAATTTTTGATACTTAATGACATGTAGACTGAAACTCCACACTGAGGCTGATGTGTCTATCCTGTGCCCTGCGATGTCCTCAGATCTCAGTTTCAGTTCACAGCTACTGCAGGTGGTGCTATCGTTTGCTGGAAGCTCTGGAACTTGTCTATGCACATATTTATGGAGAAAATATTTTTGGATGATATGAATTTTTTCACAGAGATGTGAATGTATAGGATGTATTGTTCATAATGCTGTTGTTTACAGTGTTAGTTCCTACTATATGTTTTCTGGTATTGGGAATTTTTATTTTTGAATATTTTTTCATCATATGAATCAGTAACCGCCAAAATGCAGAACTAATACTTTTCTTGGTTATAGTGTTATTTTGTGATATATTTAACACAGTTTTTGCAGTAGTTGCTGAGTGCTGTAGACAGAGTGAATACAGAGTTTTTTATATTGTTTATTTCATCCAATAAGCTCACTGTGATAGTTGCATAGAGCATAGTTTTAATATTAGATGTTTTATCTTGATAGCTCTAACAATAGTTATAATTGTACATAGTTGATAACAAGCCCACAGCAGATGGGACATATTTTATTAATATGATATTTTGCCTAAACCACTTGTCTTGATGGAATAATTGTTGTGACAGTTACCATGGGTACTAAGATTATGACAATGACGCTACTGCTGATGCACAAGTCTGACAGTGACATCATCTGACCATTCTCTAGAATGTATTCTACTGGAAACATTTCTGAAAAGGAAATGACTCAGTTTCAAGTGAAAAGCCTAGTTATACTTGCCTAAACAGTTGTCTAGTCTAACCAATCATTGTTTAGGACCCCTCATAGCCTTTGATAACCTAGATGTAGCCTCAATATGTTAATGTCAGTATCATGGTTACCTAATTATCATTGGGAGCAGGATTATAAATATGATTATTAACCAATAATACCAAACTTATTTTTTTCTATTAAACCTCCCTCCTTACTATTGAGTAGTTTCTGCTGGAGTAATCAGCATACTCGGATGCTCCAAATACAATACTTCCAGTCATGTGACTAGGAAGTAGTAGTATAGAAAGTAGTATCTATGTGGTATTTGTGCATTGAAAAACAACTAGTCAGTAACGTTTCAAAAACTGATGCTGTCAAAACAGATTATCCTCATCATGTGTTACAGTTTATGACAGCTGCTTTCAAGTCATGTTGTAGTCTAGAATTTCAGTTTATTCTCAGGGAAACAATTATGAAATTATTTCTTATAGATTGATATGTAGGATCACAGTTTGTGAAAAAACACAACTCGCGATCATCAGTAGTTACCATGGTCACTGTAGGAGCAGAACAAGTAGAAATTCTTCAAACTTCGTATAGCGAGAGACTCGCACATCTTTTTGTTATTTTAATATACATATACTGATATGTTTTGTTTAATTCTTTGTCATTATATCTGGTCTCTATATTGCACATAGTGTGGATCCATCTAACCCTATAATCTGTGTGTATTCTGTGTTTCCACCTGCACGCTGTTGTAGGAGTGTTTGCACCATACATTTGCCATAACTCGGACCTCAATAATTACAGTACTGAAGCTCACCTGTCATCGGACCTGGGTAATTACCGTCAGTTAGTGGCAGGTACTGAAGCTCACCTGACCTGGGTCCTAGGTTATTACCATCAATTTGTGGCAGGTACTGAAGCTCACCTGACCTGGGTCCTAGTTTATTACCATCAATTTGTGGCAGGTACTGAAGCCTACCTAGACTAGGTAATTACCGTCAGATAGTAGCAGGTACTGAAGCTCACTGACCTCGGTCCTAGGTAATTACAGTCAAGTAATGAAGCTCACCTGACCTGGGTCCTAGGTTATTACCGTCAGTTAGTAGCAGGTACTGAAGCTCACCTGACCTGGGTCCTAGGTTATTACCATCAGTTAGTAGCAGGTACTGAAGTTCACCGACCTTGATCCTGGGTAATTACACTCAAGTAATGAAGCTCACCTGATCTAGGTCCTAGGTTATTACCGTCAGGTAGTAGCAGGTACTGAAGCTCACTGACCTTGGTCCTAGGTAATTACAGTCAAGTAATGAAGCTCACCCGACCTGGGTCCTAGGTTATTACCATCAGTTAGTGGCAGGTACTAAAGCTCACCTGACCTGGGTCCTAGGTTATTACCATCAGTTAGTAGCAGGTACTGAAGCTCACTGACCTCAGTCCTAGGTAATTACCGTCAGTTAGTGGCAGGTCCTGAAGCTCACATTAACCCAGTCCTTACTAATTACAGTCAGTTCGTGTCAGGTACTGAAACTCGCCTTAACCCAGTCCTAGGTAATTAAAGTCAGTTAGTAGCAGGTATGGAAGCTCACCTTATCCTGGTCCTAGGTAATTACAGTCAGTTAGTGGCAGGTACTGAAGCTCACCTTAACCCAGTCCAAGGTAATTACAGTCAGTTCGTGTCAAGTATGGAAACTCACCTGACCTCGGTCCTAGGTAATTACCGTCAGTTAGTGGCAGGTATAGAAGCTCACCTTAACCCAATTATGGTCAGTTATAACAATGCTTCATAAATTCACACTGATGAATCTTGGATTTACACCAGATGACAGGCTACCCGTGATGAGCCTAATTATTCATTGTTTAATTCTGTATAATTTCAACAGTAATATTTTCCTAGGTGGTGGAATAACCTGGCCTGATAATTAGGGCTGCAACGAATACACTATGAGGCGAATATGATTCATATCATGAATATAGGGTAATGAATACAAATATTAATTCATGAATACCATAAAAAGTCAGCAGTTGATTAATTATTTGTTATATTCAGTGGAAAAATAACAACATAAATTATTTTACATGGCTTGTTTTTTATTAACATTTTATACATTTATATACTGGACTTATCAAGGTACTAGAATCTGCTCAAATGCGACAATGACCAGTGACCACAGTACTGTCAACTTAAATATTATAAGAGTGTTGTCTTTGAAGAAATCTATGCATATAATATGTTCTTATGGATGTTTTAGGTACAGGGTATGTAAATACACATGATTGATTCTAGTGGCCACAAATAACTAATTCAATTCATAATGGATCGTATCAGCCCTACTGATAACACTAAGACTGGCCTGACCTGAATGCCAATCACAGAGTGCTTAGTCTTGCTGCCTGCACTGTCCGAACAATCCCAAGATAAATGGTCAGGCAGCACTGACTGGATGATGGCAACAACCTCTTGTCAGCTGGGCAGGGTGGGCCAGGGAGAGTTTCATGCAAATGAATCCATGTATCATGATACGTATCACATCGTAGGGTGGGCCAGGGAGAGTTTCATGCAAATGAATCCATGTATCATGATACGTATCACATCGTAGGGTGGGACATAGGGACATTAGAGATCAGTGATGAACTTTTGATGTGCAGCTTAATGGGAGATAACTCTTGTTGACTTATCACAAGAAATTCTTGCCAAGCTGGAGATGAGTGGTATGGAATAGAAATAGTATTTGCATTTATTTCATTTGAATATGTGTAAAAGTATATGTGAAACGATTATTAGGTTTGAAATTTTTTATTGTTTACTTGTTCAAAGAGAGTTTAAGTGGAACTCGATATTTACTAGAAAATACACTTATCCTCTATATCATTGTCCCCTTGCAGTGTTCAATAAGTGTTTTTGATGACCTGGTATAGTAGTGGTTATTGTGATTTGATAATTGACCAATCAGAATCGGGTAATTTCCAAGTTTATGGTTGAATATCTGATAACTTTATGCATCGACTATGTTTGCATCAGTTTGCAGCATCACCTGACTATGTGACAAGGTAGTTGTATCATTAGTGTGTGAAGCCCATTTCTGGTGTTCCCTGCCATGATGTTGTTTGAATATTGCTAGAAGGGGCGTAAAACCATACTCACTCACTCACTCACTCACTATAATGATAACATATAGCCAAACCCTTAAACATGGCAAATTTCTACTTGTACTTATGATGCATTTACTATTGGGCAGTTTGGCAAGGACTACAGGACTAGCGCCAATTTCTGACACTGGTTAGTCATTAGACAACCTGATACTGTCTGTCAATTTTTGTTTTGTACTTTCCTGAACACTGTTTTTTTCAACTGGGGTGGTATCAGCCAGTGATGACCAGTGTTAACGGCGCCAGTTGGCGCTGGTGTGGGTGCTGTTCAGGTTGGAGGTCAGTTCTTGACCACGATCATTTCGTGATGTGCTGCTTGTGTCACTGAAATAACATGGACGTTTGCATCATTGATGAATGGGTTCTCAGTTATTACCTCTGTTTTGTTTTGAATACATATGACTTTGACTGGTTTTGTTGTAATAGGTATGAAGACAATTTTGAACAATGAATATAGTGGGCTGGATGTTATGCAAATCAATAGATCTATTTTCTGTTTTTCATATACCGTATTCGACGTAATAAGCGCCTAGGGTGCTCTCAAAATTAGAATTGGCTCTTATTTGAATATAATTTTGGTAAGAAAAAAAACAGAGTTG